GTTATTGTTCTCTGTATATTTTTATATATATTGGCTACATCTTTTTCTGTAAATATTTTTATTGCACCCTTTTGACCTTTTAGTAATAAATCTTACTTTCTGAAAGTGTTGAACTGTTTCTAAAGCTCTTTAATGCAAACTATGTATTCCTGCCTCTGAAGAGCGCTACTGTGTGTGTTTAACCCTCTGTATAACCTGCCTGCGGTGACAGTGGTGTACAGACAATTATTCAACCATCCTAGTGTTATTGCTGATATTGCCGAGTTTTCTCTTTCTCTGTACAAAAAGGAGGTGGTGGCAGTGTGAAGGGTTAATTGTGTAATTAACCTGACCCAGTAACAATCGCTCAGGCTTCCGGTACATCGATTGTGGTCCAGTGAGCTGGAAAATCATTGTGCAGGGTGCAGCTGTGCATGACATTGTTACGCACATGACAGCGCGGTTTTAGATTGGCTAGTCCTTTGGTCATGAGTTTGGTGAGAAGGTCAGGGGTCTGACGCCGCGCCAGTCACATATTGGATGGCAGCGTATGTGGGATAGTTGCATTAAGAGCTTCGGTGAAGTGTTAGGAATTAGCTCTGCACTGAAGGATTGTAACCTTTGTGGAAACAGTCCTTAGAGACAAGCGGTGCATATGTTTCATATACAGTTGTGTTCAAAATAATAGCAGTGTGTTGAAAAAAGTGAATAAAGCTGAAAATCCTTCTAATAGCTTTTATTTCCATCCACACACAAATGCATTGGGAACACGACACATTCTATTCCAAATCACAACATGAAGAAAAATACATCAAATTTGTGTTGTTCCTCTAAAAAATTTAAAGAAAAGTGAATATTAGACGGTTCAAAAAAATGGCCGTGTTTGTATTCTTCTTTACAAACTCAAACATTCACTATATAAACTGAGAAATGTTTGAAGATTTTGCTTTCCTTTGAATGACTTCATGAATATTTGGTTGTAGTCGCACTGTTTCTGAGAACTGCTGTACATCTGTGTTGCATGGAGTCCCCCAACTTCTGGCCCCTGTGATCAGGTATTCCAGCCCAGGATGATTGGACCACATTCCACAGTTCTTCTCTATTTCTTGGTTTTGCCTCAGAAACGGCATTTTTGATGTCACCCCACAAGTTTTCTATTGGATGAAGATCCGGGGATTGGGCTGGCCACTCCATAACGTCCATCTTGTTGGTCTGGAACCAAGATGTTGCACGTTTACTGGTGTGTTTGGGGTCGTTGTCTTGTTGGAACACCCATTTCAAGGGGCATTTCCTCTTCAGCATAAGGCAGCATGACCTCTTCAAGTATTCTGATGGATTCAAACTGATCCATGATCCCTGGTATGCGATAAATAGGCCCAACACCGTAGTATGAGAAACATCCCCATATCATGATGCTTGCACCACCATGCTTCACAGTCTTCACAGTGTACTGTGGCTTGAATTCAGGGTTTGGGGGTCGTCTGACAAACTGTCTCCGCCCACTAGACCCAAAAAGAACAATCTTACTTTCATCAGTCCACAAAATGTTGCGCCATTTCTCTTTAGGCCAGTCAATGTGCTCTTTGGCAGATTGTAACCTCTTCAGCACACGTCTTTTTCCCAACAGTGGGACTTTGCGGGGACTTCTTGCAGATAGCTTGGCTTCACATCGGCGTCTTCTAATTGTAACAGTCCTCACAGGGAACGTCACACACCTTCTTTCATCTTCCTGGAGCTGATTGTTGGCTGAGTCCGCGCCATTTTGGCTCTTCTTCTATCCATTCCAATGGTAGTTTTTCGCTTTCTTCCACGTCTTTCAGGTTTTGGTTGCCATTTTAAAGCATTTGTGATAATTTTAGCTGAGCAGCCGATCATTTTCTGCACTTCTTTATATGTTTTCCCCTCTCCAATCAACTTTTTAATCAAGGTACACGCTGTTCTTCTGAACAATGTCTGGAACGACCCATTTTCCTCAGAATTTCAGAGAGAAATGCACTGTAACCAGCATGTACAACATTTGCTGCCTTCCTTCCTTAAATAAGGGCAATAATTGCCACCTGTTTTTCAAAGAATGAATGACGTCACTAATAGAACTCCACACTGCTATTATTTTGAACACAACTGTATATAGAGAGAAAGACATATAGCAACAGCTCCTTCCTTTTTCTGCTTCCTATTCTATCTTTGCTTGCAATTATGCCTGGTGACGCAGCAGAATGCAAGAAAATGAGCAAAGTAATTTGAGTGCTGAATGTGCCTCATGAGGAATGGACATCGGTTGCAAAACTCGTAAAGATTTGATTTGGCACCTACAGGAGCATGATAGCCGAGCAGACCAGAACTCGAGGGAACCTGACCATGATGGGGTTCCCGCCTCCTCAGATCCCAGGGGCTCAGAGATGGCCTCGCAGGATGGGCATACAGAGACTGACACTGGAGTATCATCAAATATTATCTTCACACCACTACCTGAGTGGGCCAGCACCAGAGAGCCTGTAACCAGTAGAGATTCTCCTCAGATGCAGGAAGCCCTGAAATGCATCATGGAGACAGTTCCTGGGGCATACCTAAAGTTCCTTGACTGCCAGGCAGAGAGGAAGGCCTTGGTATATGGACATACTCCTTGTATATGACATACTCCTGACCACTGCACTCTATACACAGGGCTGTATAGGACATACTCCACTGCACTGCACATACTCCTGACCGACTCTACACAGGGCTGTATATGACATACTCCTGACCACTGCACTCTATACACAGGGCTGTATATGACATACTCCTGACCACTGCACTCTATACACAGGGCTGTATATGACATACTCCTGACCACTGCACTCTATACACAGGGCTGTATATGACATACTCCTGACCACTGCACTCTATACACAGGGCTGTATATGACATACTCCTGACCACTGCACTCTATACACAGGGCTGTATATGACATACTCCTGACCACTGCACTCTGACCATACACAGGGCTGTATATGACATACTCCTGACCACTGCACTCTATACACAGGGCTGTATATGACATACTCCTGACCACTGCACTCTATACACAGGGCTGTATACTCCTGACCACACTCTATACAGGGCTGTATATGACATACTCCTGACCACTGCACTCTATACACAGGGCTGTATATGACATACTCCTGACCACTGCACTCTATACACAGGGCTGACATACTCCTGACCACTGCACTCTATACACGGCTGTATATGACATACTCCCTGACCACTGCACTCTATACACAGGGCTGTATAGGACATACTCCTGACCACTGCACTCTATACACACAGACATACTCCTGACCACTGCACTCTATACACAGGGCTGTATATGACATATACTCCTGACCACTGCACTCTATACACAGGGCTGTATATATGACATACTCCTGACCACTGCACTCTATACACAGGGCTGTATATGACATACTCCTGACCACTGCACTCTATACACAGGGCTGTATATGACATACTCCTGACCACTGCACTCTATACACAGGGCTGTATATGACATGACCACTCCTGACCACTGCACTCTATACACAGGGCTGTATATGACATACTCCTGACCACTGCACTCTATACACAGGGCTGTATATGATATACTCCTGACCACTGCACCTGACCACTGCACTCTATACACAGGGCTGTATATGACATGTTTCCTGACCACTGCACTCTATACACAGGGCTGTATATGACATACTCCTGACCACTGCACTCTATACACAGGGCTGTATGACATACTCCTGACCACCACTGCACTCTATACACAGGGCTGTATATGACATACTCCTGACCACTGCACTCTATACACAGGGCTGTATATGACATACTCCTGACCACTGCACTCTATACACAGGGCTGTATAGGACATACTCCTGACCACTGCACTCTAGGCTGATGACCTGGGAAGGCTCTCAATGTGTCATCTATGAACAATTTATGATGAAGACGTTTGTCACTCACAACACAATTTTGTTTTTTCATTCAATAAACTTTTTATTGTAATTATATTTTTAACAAGATTGTAATCATAGAATCAGGAAATAACAAAGGAAGAAATCTGATTGGTCAAGAAGATCCCTTGTCTGGAATGTGGGGGCGGAGTCATTATTATTGGTGTACAATACAATACACAACGTGTTCCATTATTATAACAAAGTATTGTAGAAAAGATCCCAACATAGAAAATGGGGGAAAGGAGGAAATAAAGGCGGATATGAAGGGGAATCTGTGTACGGGGAACACCTTAACAATCACCACCATTTTATTCTCCAGGGCCTCTGATGTCACAGAATAGATGTTTGGGGGTTTATCTCATCTTCAGGACCAAAATCTGCATTTTCCCATGTGTGCAAAATCATGCAGAAACAGCTCTGGCAGTGAGAGGGTTAATGTGGGCTAGATGGGATCACTCTGCTGGGGTGACATTAGAGCTCCCCCTAGCTGCAGCCTGGTAATAACATTGCTGGGAGGTCTCTTCATTTCTCTGCTCCATACTTCCCGTCTTTATAGAAACGTCTCCTGACATTTGGGGGTCTATTCATAGAATGTTTGTATAGCAATTCCCTCAGTGAGAGTTCATGTCCATTCCTCCTGTGTGAATGGGGGAACCAATGTTATTAGGATCACATCTGAGCTGCTGGAAAATGTCTTCCATTGATGGAAAATACATTGAAAACTTCTTCTCCTGCCATCAATGACCAACCCGGTCCCACACTTCATCCATGTCTTTGGGGGCCTCTGATCTCCTTGAACTGTTTCTTCCATGATGAAGATCAGCCATGGAGTATATCTGAGGTGTATATCAGGGTGTGCTTCTTCCCCACATGAGAGCTGGGATGTCCAGCAACATTCATCTAGAAGACATTTCCCGCACTCAAGGCACTAAACACCTCCAGGGTTGTGTGGGACCCCTGATGTACAGGAAGACAGGACTTCAGAGAGGAACATTTCCCTCACTCAGGACAGCAGAGTGGCTTCTCATCCGTGTGAGACATCTGATGTCTGTAAAGATTGGAATTCTGTGAAAAACATTTCCCACACTCAGAACAGGAATATGGCTTCTCCCCTGTGTGACATCTCTGATTTGTAAAGATTGCCCTTCTGTGAAAAACATTTCCCCACACTCAGAACAGGAATATGGCTTCTCCCCTGTGTGAGATCTCTGATGTATGTGAAGACTGGACTTCACTGTGAAAAAACATGCCCACCTCAGGACAGGAATAGAGCTTCTCCCCCTTGTGAGATCTCTCATGTTTATGAAGAAGGGACTGCCGCACAAAACATTTCCCACACTCAGGACAGGAATATGGCTTCTCCACTGTGTGTGATCTCTGATGTGTGTGAAGATTGGATATCTGTGAAAAACATTTCCTGCACTCAGGACAGGAATACGGCTTCTCCCCCGTGTGAGATCTCTGATGATTATGAAGTTTGTACTTCTCTAAAAAACATTTCCCACACTCAGAACAGAAAAATAACTTCTCCCCCGTGTGAGATCTCTGATGTCTGCAAAGACTGGACTTCACTGAAAAACATTTCCCGCACTCAGGACAAGAATACGGCTTCTCCCCCGTGTGAGATCTTTCATGCACATTAAGCACTGATTTATGCCAGAAACCCTTCCCACACTCAGAACAGGAATGTGGCTTTTCCCCCGTGTGAGATCTTTGATGTGTGTAAAGATTGGACTTCACTGAAAAACATTTCCCGCACTCAGGACAGGAATACGGCTTCTCCCCTGTGTGAGATCTTTCATGCACATTAAGCTCTGATTTATGCCAAAAACCCTTCCCACACTCAGGACAGGAATACGGCTTCTCCCCCTTGTGGGATCTTTGATGTGTGTAAAGATTGAACTTCACTGAAAAACATTTCCCACACACAGGACAGGAATACGGCTTCTCCCCCGTGTGAGATCTCTGATGACTATGAAGTTTGGAATTCACTGAAAAACATTTCCCGCACTCAGGACAGGAATACGGCTTCTCCCCCCTGTGAGATCTTTCATGCACATTAAGCTCTGATTTATGCCGGAAACCCTTCCCACACTCAGAACAGAAAAAATAGCTTCTCCCCCGTGTGAGATCTCTGATGTGTGTAAAGATTGGACTTCAGTGAAAAACATTTCCAGCATTCAGGGCAGGAATATGGCTTCTCCCCCGTGTGAGATCTCTGATGTGTGTGTCTGGAAAGATGGGACTTCTGTGAAAAAATGTTTCCCGCACTCAGGACAGGAATAAGCTTCTCCCCCGTGTGAGATCTCTGATGTGTGTCAAGTTTTGATTTTTCTACAAAACATTTCCCACACTCAGGACAGGAATAAGGCTTTTCCCCCGTGTGAGATCTCTGATGTTTATGAAGACTGGACGAATCTGAAAAACATTTCCCGCACTCAGGACAGGAATACGGCTTCTCCCCCGTGTGAGATCTCTGATGTGTGTCAAGTTTTGATTTTTTCTACAAAACATTTCCCGCACTCAGGACAGGAATAAGGCTTCTCCCCCGTGTGAGATCTCTGATGTGTGTCAAGTTTTGATTTTTCTACAAAACATTTCCCGCACTCAGGACAGGAATAAGGCTTCTCCCCCGTGTGAGATCTTTGATGTTTATGAAGACTGGACTTATTTGAAAAACATTTCCCGCACTCAGGACAGGAATACGGCTTCTCCCCCGTATGAAATCTCTGATGACTGTAAAGATGGGATGTCTGTGAAAAACATTTCCCGCACTCAGGACAGGAATACGGCTTCTCCCCTGTATGAGATCTCTGATGTTTATGCAGACTGGATATCTGTGAAAAACATTTCCCGCACTCAGGACAGGAATATGGCTTCTCCCCCGTATGAGATCTTTTATGCACATTAAGATCTGATTTACGCTGGAAATCCTTCCCACACTCAGGACATGAATATGGCTTCTCCCCCGTGTGAGATCTTTGATGTATGCAAAGACTGGACTTGACTGAAAAACATTTCCCGCACTCGGGACAGGAAAATGTCTTTTTCCCAGTATGCAATCTCTGATGGGCAGAAAGATTGGACTTGTCTGAAAAGCATTTCCCGCACACAGTACAAGAATAGGACTTCTCCCCTGTGTGAGATCTTTTATGCACATTAAGTTTGGATTTAGAATGGTAACATTTCCCGCACTCAGGACAGGAATACGGCTTCTTTCCTGTGCAAGACCTTTTATGCACATTAAGACCGGATTTATATTGGAAACCCTTCCCGCACTCAGTACAGGAGATCTCTTCCCTGTTGGAAGGCCGGCCCGGTCCCGCACAGTCTGAGGTTCCTCAGGATACGAGGAATCCGATGGTCCATCTACACTGGGTGGTGCCGGATGGACATTGGAGGGAGCCGGGTTTTCTCCTGGACTATACTGTGTGATGTCCTCATCTTCTACTTTCCAGTCTGGAGACAAAGTGAGACAATCCTCGGAGGTTTTCCTCATCTCCCGGCCATGGACTAAAATACAAAGACAAAGAGGATTACTAGACAGGAGCTGATTGGTTCCCCCAAACCAGGACTCCGCCCACATCAGGCAGCTTGGTCTCTGAGGAGCTTACAATTCCACCCTCAAGGGAACTAGGAAATGGCTCCTCTGATCTCCTACCAGGTCATTTCTTTATTCATGGACCTTAGTCAGAGAGTGAGGAAACAACCAGAACTGTCTTTTATAGGAGGGACAGTGATGAGGGGATTATAGGACGAGGGTCCCCACCCCCTCTATCACTCATCGCCATCTTCCCAACACAAGAAGTACTGCACTTCCTTATTTAGTCCATGATTTAGTCATGAAGAACAGCGGGGCTGAGCCCCACCAGAGGTCAGAGAGTGAGGATGGGGGGAGAACAACCAAGATGAAGACTGGACTGATCCTGAAGACCACCATCATTGGGGTATTGACTCCTCCCTCATTATCACTTTCTGTTTAAGGGTCCAAAGTTGGAGGATGTTATCACATTATTATCACCATGTAAAAGTCTGTGCTCCAATCACATCATCCGATATAAAATGTCCAGCTGGGAGGAAATGGGGGGAACAAAAGAGAATCCATATTATGTGTATATATATAGCAGTGGGGGGGGGGGGGGAGAGCAGAAGTCAGGACTATGGAATGTACAACATAGAGTATATAGTGCAGGGGTCAGGAGTATGTAATGTACAACATAGAGTATATATGCAGGGGTCAGGAGTATGTAATGTACAACATAGAGTATATAGTGCAGGGGTCAGGAGTATGTAATGTACAACATAGAGTATATAGTGCAGGGGTCAGGAGTATGTAATGTACAACATAGAGTATATAGTGCAGGGGTCAGGAGTATGTAATGTACAACATAGAGTATATAGTGCAGGGGTCAGGAGTATGTAATGTACAACATAGAGTATATAGTGCAGGGGTCAGGAGTATGTAATGTACAACAGAGTATATAGTGCAGGGGTCAGGAGTATGTAATGTACAACAGAGTATATAGTGCAGGGGTCAGGAGTATGTAATGTACAACAGCCAGTATATAGTGCAGGGGTCAGGAGTATGTAATGTACAACATACAGAGTATATAGTGCAGGGGTCAGGAGTATGTAATGTACAACATAGAGTATATAGTGCAGGGGTCAGGAGTATGTAATGTACAACATAGAGTATATAGTGCAGGGGTCAGGAGTATGTAATGTACAACATAGAGTATATAGTGCAGGGGTCAGGAGTATGTAATGTACAACATAGAGTATATAGTGCAGGGGTCAGGAGTATGTAATGTACAACATAGAGTATATAGTGCAGGGGTCAGGAGTATGTAATGTACAACAGCCAGTATATAGTGCAGGGGTCAGGAGTATGTAATGTACAACAGAGTATATAGTGCAGGGGTCAGGAGTATGTAATGTACAACAAAGATTATATAGTGCAAGGGTCAGGAGTATGTAATGTACAACAGAGTATATAGTGCAGGGGTCAGGAGTATGTAATGTACAATAGAGTATATATAGTGCAGGGGTCAGGAGTATGTAATGTACAACATAGAGTAAATAGTGCAGGGGTCAGGAGTATGTAATGTACAACATAGAGTATATATAGTGCAGGGGTCAGGGGTCAGGAGTATGTAATGTACAACAGCCAGTATATAGTGCAGGGGTCAGGGGAGTATGTAATGCACAACAGAGTATATAGTGCAGGGGTCAGGAGTATGTAATGTACAACAGAGTATATAGTGCAGGGGTCAGGAGTATGTAATGTACAACAGAGTATATAGTGCAGGGGTCAGGAGTATGTAATGTACAACAGAGTATATAGTGCAGGGGTCAGGAGGATGTAATGTACATCAAAGAGTATATAGTGCAGGGGTCAGGAGTATGTAATGTACAACAGAGTATATAGTGCAGGGGTCAGGAGTATGTAATGTACAACAGAGTATATAGTGCAGGGGTCAGGAGGGGTCAGGAGTATGTAATGTACAACACAGAGTATATAGTGCAGGGGTCAGGAGGATGTAATGTACAACATAAAGTATATAGAGCGGGGGGTGCGTGGCTTGGCGCATGACAAGCTATGCAGCATTTCTGCACAGCTCCTGGCCTGGACCTCCTTCACAGGCTCCTATCTTCCTCCCAGGCTCTCCACATTCATCCTTATGTGCAAGAAACAACACTGGACCCCCAGGGAGCAACGGGGGACCGGTCTGGTGGCACAATAATCTGTTCCTGGCCCAATCCACGGCCGAGGCCTTGGGCACCCCGGCCTCAAAGATGGCACTGATGGCTCTCCCCCCTCCTCATCCCTCTTATACACAGGGCAGGGAAGATGGGGAAGATGGGCAGGTAAGCCCACGGGGCTCTATCTCTCTTTCCCTGGGGATCCTGCAAAAACCACCTTCTCCTGTACTGATACCACAGGACTTGCAGGAGTCCTGCAGCCCCTCTCCTATGCGGAGATTACGAGACACACAGGGTTCCCGCAGCCCCTCTTCTGCTATGAGATTACAGGACACACACAGGGGTCCCACAGCCCCTCTTCTGCTATGAGATTACAGGACACACAGGGGTCCCACAGCCCCTCTTCTGCTATGAGATTACAGGACACACAGGGGTCCCACAGCCCCTCTTCTACACTAAGACCACAGGACACACAGGGGTCCCGCAGCCCCTCTTCTTCACCATTGAGACCACAGGACACACAGAGTCCCACAGCCCCTCTTCTACACTAAGACCACAGGACACACAGGGGTCCCACAGCCCCTCTTCTACACTAAGACCACAGGACACACAGGGGTCCCACAGCCCCTCTTCTACACTAAGACCACAGGACACACAGGGGTCCCACAGCCCCTCTTCTACACTAAGACCACAGGACACACAGGGTCCCACAGCCCCTCTCTTACATTGAGACCACAGGACACACAGGGTCCCACAGCCCCTCTTCTACACTATTGAGACCACAGGACACACAGGGGTCCCCACAGCCCCTCTTCACATTGAGACCACAGGACACACAGGGGTCCCACAGCCCCTCTTCACACTGAGACCACAGGACACACAGGGGTCCCACAGCCCCTCTTCTACACTAAGACCACAGGACACACAGGGGTCCCACAGCCCCTCTTCTACACTAAGACCACAGGACACACAGGGGTCCCGCAGCCCCTCTTCTTCACCATTGAGACCACAGGACACACAGGAGTCCCACAGCCCCTCTTCTACACTAAGACCACAGGACACACAGGGGTCCCACAGCCCCTCTTCTGCATTGCAAACACAGGACACACAGGGGTCCCACAGCCCCTCTTCACCACTGAGACCACAGGACACACAGGGGTCCCGCAGCCCCTCTTCTTCACCATTGAGACCACAGGACACACAGGGGTCCCACAGCCCCTCTTCACCATTGAGACCACAGGACACACAGGGGTCCCGCAGCCCCTCTTCTACACTAAGACCACAGGACACACAGGGGTCCCGCAGCCCCTCTCTACTACACTAAGACCACAGGACACACAGGGGTCCCGCAGCCCCTCTTCTACACTAAGACCACAGGACACACAGGGGTCCCACAGCCCCTCTTCTACACTAAGACCACAGGACACACAGGGGTCCCACAGCCCCTCTCTACACCAAGACCACAGGACACACAGGGGTCCCACAGCCCCTCCTCTTCTACACTAAGACCACAGGACACACAGGGGTCCCACAGCCCCTCTTCTACACTAAGACCACAGGACACACAGGGGTCCCACAGCCCCTCTTCTACACTAAGACCACAGGACACACAGGGGTCCCACAGCCCCTCTTCTACACTAAGACCACAGGACACACAGGGGTCCCACAGCCCCCTCTTCTACACTAAGACCACAGGACACACAGGGGTCCCACAACCCCTCTTCTACACTAAGACCACAGGACACACAGGGGTCCCACAGCCCCTCTTCTACACTAAGACCACAGGACACACAGGGGTCCTGCAGCCCTTCTCCGGCTTCTCTTTGTTCTGAGGATAGCTGGGATCTGCAGTCCCACATGCGATCCTTACACACTTACATCAAATCTCTCCCTATGAAGACGGATTTTGAGCAATGTGTGAAACATATTGAGCGTACAAACAGGAAATTTCTGCTCTTAAACAAGACGTTTGTACGTGTCTGGAAAGGATTGAAAGTACCGCTGATGGCGTAACTAACGCCTTACAAACCCACAAAGAGACCCTTAACTCCCACACGGTCCCTATACAACATCTCATGTACCAACAAGATGACATTGAGAACAGAAACCGCCGTAACAAGATGCGGATTAGGGGCATCCCAGAATCCATCGAATCTAAAGATTTAGCCGCGGTGGTTACCGCTATCTTCAATCAACTCTTACAGCAACCTAAAGACACCTATATAGAGCCGGATCGAGTACATCGCACGCTGGGCACCAGGAATCCTGATCCATCTTTTGTTCATGACACCTTGTGCAGGGTTCACTACTTCAAGATCAAAGACGCCATCATGCGTGCAGCCAGCTTGCAGGATACCATTGTATTCAATGAAGTGCCGGTGATGCTATTTCCTGACTTCTC